AAATGGCATATTGCACTTGTCAAATATGCTGCAAAAAACCTCTTTAAAATTTTTTAAAAACCAAGGATGTCACTTTGATGAGTGAGGTGCACCTGACCCAAGCCATGTTCTTTTCCATCTCCTCATATGCATGCAAAAGCTGGACAATGAAAAAGCAATACAGAAGAAGAATTGATACATTCAAATTGTGGTGTTAGTGAAGAATATTGGTGTTAGTGGACTGCCAGAAGAACGAACAAATCAGTCTTAGAAGAAATACAACCAGAATGCTCCTTAGAAGTGAGGATTGCAAGGCTTTGGCTCGCTTAACTTTGGATACTTCATCAAAAAAGACCAGTTGATAGAAAAAAAATCATGTTTTCTAAAGTAGGGGATCAGCAAAAATGAGGGTAACCTCAATAAGATGGATTGACACAATAGCAGAAATAATGGACTGAAACATAACAAGGATCATGTAAATGTTATACAAAAGGTCGCTATTGTATTATACAAAGGTCACCATGAGTCAGAGCCATCTCAACAGCAACTAACAGCAGCAGTACCTAATTCTACATATTAGATTGTTAAGTAATCATACCTGATTGGTTATCACTGTTCAATTTTATCAGTTGTTAAGAGCTCGGCTGCTAATCAAAAGATTGGCATTTCGAATCTACCAGCCGTTCCTTGGAAACCCTGTGGGGTGCTATGAGTTGGAATCGACTCAACAGCAGCGGGTTTGGTTTTGTTTGTTTGTTTTTTTAATTAAATTTTATATTTGAGTAGTCACATACCAATTTTACATACCTTGTAGACCCAAACCTCTGTGTTCTTCCAACTCACTGCTGATACACATGGCTGCACTGGCTATTTACTGCACAACTCCAGTTGTGACAACTACAGTGTCAGTGGTACTCCTGGGATTATATAATGCAATGCCCTTTTTTTAAATCAATCTCACTTTTTATTAACCTGGTATTCTGCCTGTCATGGTTTGAATTATGTCCCCCAAAAAATGTGTGTATCAATTTGGCTGGGCCATGATTCCCAGAATTGTGTGGTTGGCCTCCATTTTGTGATTGTAATTTTATGTTTAAGAGGGTTCAAGTGGGATTGTAATGCCACCTTTACCCCAGGTCACATCCGTGATCCAATGTAAAGGGAGTTTCCCTGGGGTGTGGCTTGCACCACCTTTTATCTCTCAAGAGATAAAAGGAAAGGGAAGCAAGCAGAGAGTTGGGGGACCTCATACCATCAAGAAAGCAGTGCTGGGAGCAGAGCGTGTCGTTTGGACCGGGGTCCCTGCGCAGAGAAGCTCCTAGTCCGGGGGAACACCGAAGAGAAGAAGGCCAACAGAGAGAAAAGGCCTTCCCTTGGAGCTGATGCCCTGAATTTGGACTTTTAGCCTACTTTAACTGTGAGGAAATAAATTTCTCTTTGTTAATGCCATCCACTTGTGGTATTTCTGTTACAGCAGCATTAGATAACTAAGACACTCCCCAAATAAGTCCTCCACAAAGGTTGCAGCATAAAACCGCAGTTATAGAGGAAGACATATATAACAAATAAGAGTAATATCTTCATTCATTAGATTAGTACGTAATTGAAGAATTGAAAATCTTACTCTAGAGCCTTTGTGTTTGATAGAATTTACTGAAACCAGGTCATTAAATCGTAGTTAATCTGGGATATCTCCCAAGGCATAGAAATAGCTTTGCTAAATAAACTCAGTGATAAAAAATGATTTCTAACAAAACACTATTACCTGGAGTCAACATTAGACATGGCAGTTATCACTATTGCTCTTCTAAAACTTTTTATGACTAAGCTGAAAAGATGGACCTAGCTTTGGAAGGAGAAACATCCGAGTTAATTAAAGTTTTTAGCAAGTTTTCAAAGCAGAGATTTGGAAGCAGCAATAGATCTGTTTTGGAACAATTGTGTGTGAATACATTTTAGTCAAAACCTATTTAGGATTCCCAGAACTTCCTATCTAAAACATGTGAGATTAACTCAGTATATACGGATGTTCATATACTCGGGATTAACTTTCAAGTGAATTTTTAGTAGCTGCAAGGGGGAGTATACTGAAAAGAAGCAGTTAAAGATAAACAGCTGCTCCTGGAGTGTTCTTAGTGTGTCTTGTTTTTCCCTTACCCTAAAGGGCAGTTTCCTGTGGGATGCATAACATTGGTCAAGACTAGTAGTTTCTGTTGTCACTGATATTATTATTTTTTTATTTTGTTTTCTTCTCTTTTTTTAATTGCACTTTAGATGAAGGTTTACAGCACAAACTAGCTTCTCATGTCACTGATTTTATTTTTAAATATAAATGTTCTAGGATTAGTCCTGAAAGTTCAAACATATTGCTTCTGCGCAGCATACTAAATTGTTTCTATTAAGCCAGAATCTCAAATTGTATCACTCTTCTGAAAATACGTTCAGCATATTTAGTGCCTTGGTTTGGCAACAAAAGTCTATCATGGCAGTGTTTTTGTTTTAAATTAAACTTAACCATAGGCATGCTGAATTTCTTTTCCTTCCTTTTTTTTTTTTTTTAGTTTTTCCTCCCCAGGATTCTGCTTGCACAAAATTTAGAAGTAGGCATTAAACTTTCTGCGAAGGGCCAGATAGTAAACATTTTAGACTTTGCAGGCCCTACAGTCTCTGTTACAACTATTCTACTATGCCATTATGGCATGAGAGCAACCATAAACAGTATGTAAATGAATGAGCTTCACTATATTCCCATAAAACTTAATTTAAAATACAAGTAGCAGGCCCAGAACTAGCCCAGGGGCCACAGTTTGCCGACCCCCAGTTTTGAGAATCACATATTTCTAAAAGTTTTTTTTTTTTTCTTTTTGTGGAAATGGCAGTCCTCTGTTGTCTCCTCACTTCCAACTTTAGCTGAGTTTCATAGAATTTACGCCCATGTCAAGATTTTTGTATTGATATTATATTGACTTCTCAGTTTTAAGCATTAGTTGTTGACTGCTATGGAAGATAAGGATTTAGATCTCTTTCCTTCTCTGCCTCCTATGTCATATATGTACCTCCTTACCCCTCTATCCCCCTAATATATATTCATTATTATTAATCAGTTGATCATAATCAAATTTAGATTAAATGGCCACTGAGTGATTATATTATTTTGACTGTGAGTCATGTTGTGAGTGATTATTACTCTTCCTTTTCTATGTATTTTTATTTCCTTCAGTTTTTAATTGTTGTGTTTATTTTTTTTGTTATTCTTCTGTTTTTTCACTAATGTGCAGTACCAAACTTTCATCAGTTATTAAAATCTCCTCTCAAGATATTCAGACTCACCAAGTATTCTGCCACCACAGGATCTCCTGTCACCATCATCCTGGGGATTCACTTTGCCTGGCTCTCCTGTTTCTTACATCCTATGTCCTTCTCATTTTTTGTATCCTTCCTCATTTTAGTGAGCAGAATTTCTTGGGTAAAAATATGCAAAGGATGTAAACTTTTCTAAACTTTGCATATCCAAAAGTTTTTATTTTTTCCTAGGTATATGTAATTCTAGGCTGGAAATTATTTTCCTCAGAATTTGAGAAGCATTAGAATTACTCTGTTGTTTCCTGACCTCCAGAATTGCTGTTCTGAAGTCTGAAGCTGTTCTGATTATGACTCTGTTTTCATATATTGTGTTGAATCCCTTCAGCCTAAAAACCTTTATTAGCGTTCTGTGTTCCAGTTCTTCTATCCTTTCTGTAAAACTCCAGCAAGTATGTTTCACCCATAGCTTCAGTAGCTCAGCTTGTCGCTGAGTGACCCAGGATACCAGCAGTATCAGTAATATTATAAAGATAATCGGCAATCTCTGTTGGTGGCAAAGTCACAGGTACTACTAATAGCAACATTCATAATTGAAGGAAACACTGAGTTTCAATTAGAGGTTAGTGGAAATAAAGTTGTAAGTCCCCCTCCATTCAAGTTTACAAACCAGCCAGTGTATTTGTAAGGAGTTTGTCCTCACTTAAAATCATAATAAAGCTGCATTATGAAGATCTCAGCACAAAAGATAGAAATTCAAATTATGTAATTTTCCTACTCCTAATTTTTAAAAGGAGCCCTGGTGGCGCAGTGGTTAAGTGTTTGGCTGCTAACATAAAAGTAGGTAGTTCAAATCCACCAGCTGTTCCTTGGAAACCCTATGGGGCATTTCTGCTCATTTCTGCTCTGTCCTATAGGGTTGCTGAGTCGGAATCGACTCTACAGCAACGGGTTTGGTTTTTTTGGTTATTTTTTTTTTAATTGTTCATAGGAAATAAAGATGATAGTAGAATCATAGAAAAGACAGAAGCCTCCTCAATATGTATTACCTGAGTGTTGGTGTCTGTTTTATCCCGTTAATCCTGTTAACACTTACATTTAAGGATTGTCTGAATTGTCTTAATTATACATACATTAAATATTTTATATATATAATCTCTTCTCATTTAGTTGTCATCAGCTATTTATAAAGTTGGCTGTGTGCCAGGTACTCTGTTAGATACTGGAAATACAGCAGTGATAGTAGACATTCAAAATTTAAATATATAGTATTAGATAACTTCCAGGTCTACATTAAATGGAATTTCAAACATCACAGAAGTCATAAATTATTTGTATCACCTAGCTTAATTAACACCAATATGTTATCTGATTCTTTCGTATTATTTTTCTTAACTAGATGTTTTAAGTTCTTTGAAAGCAGAGGTTATATTACGTTTTTTAAAATACCACACATGTTGTTTAGCACAATTCTAGAAGCATATTAAGTACCCAGAGAATATTTATTAGTTGATTACTTGATATTTTTTATTGTTCAAAAGTAGTAATATTTTTGTCAACATGATTTTTATTTGTTGTTATCATGGATTATATAGATGACTTATATAATGGGAATATTAACAAATTCCCTTTCCCTAACTCAGAGACTGATACATTTTTTTATTCACTTTTAATAGTGCCAAGTTGTCTTTATTCCCATATGTTTATTTTTCAATTTGCAGCCAGATTCTACCGCGACTGAAAGAGCAATTGCCAGACTAGCAGTACACCCTCTTCTGAAGAAAAAAATAGATACACTGAAAGGTACGAATTAAATGTTTTTAAAACCATGTTTTTAGTATGTGATTTAGGATAAATGGCTATTCATTTATTTATTGTAAATATTTTTATGGTTCTTTGTCCTCTTGAGGATCATTTTTATATTATAAATATAGATCTCTTTCAAATATTTTAAATGTTGGAAAGTGCCTGAAAATACAGAAGGTAGATGATGTCTGAAGAAAAATGAAATCTATACTTTTTTATTAAAATTCTGATTAACAATTTTATAAATATATATATTCATGATAACATTGAATACTGTTGGTTTGCTGAATATTAATGTAATTATTTTATTACTTTGTTTTTGCCACTTAATCACATAGTTTTTATTTATGTGTGTTATAAAATATATTTACAGAATTAAATGCTTTTGCTGCAGACTAGAAGATAATTTATTTTTATGCCTAAAAACACAATTTATAATAGTCTGCATTCATATCAATACAATGTTGTTGTTAGGTACCATTGAATCATTTCCAACTCATAGCAGCTGTAATCTTTATGGGAGCAGATTGCCAGGTCTTTCTCCCATGGAGCTGCTGGGTGGGTTCTGAACCACCAGCATTTTGGTTGACAGTCAAGCACTTAACCATTTGTGCCACCAGGGCTCTATCAATACATTATTGCTATTGAAATTAAAGTTGCCGTTTTATTGTGTATTTTTTGTATTCAGTGAAGTTTTTACTATTATTCATAACACCAAGACATGAGAATATGTCTTAAGATGATGATAAGTTTTTCAGAAGTAAAGGATTTCCATTAATTCAAATCCATTTTACATAACGAATATAATCTTCTGTCTTCTAAATGTTTCCAAACAATTTGAGAAACATTATGCTGAAACAGTGATTTTTTTTATATTGTGTTTCAATGCTGAAACAAATCATGTATTATTTATCTATGCAGCTGCTGTCAAAGCCTTTAAAGATGCAAGACAAAATACTGCTGAAGTTAAGTCATCAAATGCTTCAGAAGAAAATCGTTCCAAGGAAACTTTGTGTTCAAATGATGATGAAAAGAAGTTGCAGCATGAAGGAACTATTTTCAGTGAGCAGAAAGAGAAAGAAGTCAAAATATTGGCAAATAAACCAATAAATAATGCAAAGGAAAAAAGGGGCAAGATGGACTATGGACCCAATGCAATGAACATTCCAATTTCTCCAACAAAACCTTCTGAAGAGGATTCTGTAGTTTTGTCTCCATCCCAGAAGACACCGGCTGACCTAAAAATTAACACATTAAGTCAAACCAAAAAAAAGGAAGCATCCAATAGCTCAGTTGGTGATAACAGTGATGGAGAAGAATTACATGAGGAAGAGAAGGAGTATTTTGATGATAGCACAGAAGAAAGGTTTTACAAACAGTCTTCCATGTCTGAGGATAGTGATAGCGATGATGACTTCTTCATTGGGAAAGTCAGACGGACACGAAAGAAGGAGAGTAGCTGCCATTCTTCAGTAGAGGAACAAAAAAACCCAAAAAAAATGTTACCCGAAGAAGAAACACTCAAAACTCACTGGGTTATGAAAGAGGACAAAAACAAGCCAAATACAGAATCCAGGAAGTTTGAATCAGTATTTTTCCACTCATTATCTGGATCTAAAAGCTTCAGAAGGTAAGAGCGTTTTTCTATTCTGAAATAATTATTAGCTCTTGATTTTTTAAAGAACTAAAAAATTAATTTTAAAATTTTCAGAATATTTAGCTACACATTCTAACAATGGGGTGAGAGACTCTTTCACATATAGAATTCTAGTTTGTACAACACATCCTGTTATTAGACTATATTAATTTGCCAAGTACACATGTGGCAGTGCCTCATTTATTCAGCCTCATCACAAAATGAGGTGTTATAGCCAAATAATTTGTCTAGGTAATTTAAGTTTATCCCTTCAGTTATCAAAATTTTGAAACATTGGGTTAGTTGATGATGAAAATCATTTGGAAGTGTCTCACATAATCTCCCTTTTTTAAACAAAACTTTCTGAAAATAATGTGATTATTTTTTTTTTCTTGATGACCCAGGGCCATTATTAAAAACATCATTCTACTATGTGTTCTTAAGTCAGTATATAAGGTTGCCTGCCCTAACTCTTGAGTTTCTCCAGACTGCTTTATGTTTGGTGGTACTGCTCTCTCCATCCCTGCTGTTTTACCACCACTTTTCATAGCTGTTCTAAGTCTATAAATTTAAGTTCTTATGTAATTCTAATCTGATAGGGATATCATCACACTTCAGTGTAAAAATCATGGCTACCTGATTTTTTCAGTAACAGCTGTTTTCTTCAGTAAACTGGTTTTTGTTTTTGTTAAATATGGGTCAGGGATATTCCTTAATGAAATAGAAAAATGTGATGTAGAAATTTTCCAAAGAGGTGGGAATAAGGAAAAGATACACAGCCATCTTTGGAACCTTGAAAATAATTAAGATATATACTTATATCTCCCAAACCTGCCTCGAAAGGCTACGTTTTTTCCTCATTTGAAAATAACACATTACTACCTTTTCCCCCTCCCACAATATGTAAATTTTAATTTTTGTTTATGTGATTCATTTTCCCTATGAGAAGATTTTTGAAATTTTTTATCTAAATGGTCCCCAAAATAGGATATTTTTCAGTTACAAAGAGAATCCCTAGAAGGATGGTGAGAGGAAAAGTTCCTCATGTTTCTGGACTCATATTGGAGTTCAGCAAACCTTCAGTGTAGCTAAAACTTAGGATTTTCATAATTTTTTAATTGATTGAAGCTGGGATAGAGGAGCACAGTAGTTTTGACTGGCTTATTATCAGTTTTATTATGTTATCTTAAGATCAGAGCATTTAATGATCTTTTAAAATCATAATAGTATTTTTCTTCTTTTAGAAGTTCCAGAGAACAGGCTCCAAAAAGCAAAATCCCAGGTATGTATTGACTCATGACCTCTGTATGCAACTGAGCCCTGGTGGAGAAGTGGTTAAGAGTTCAGCTGCTAACCAAAACGTCAGCAGTTTGAATCCACCAGTTGCTTCTTAGAAACCCTATGGGGCAGTTCTTCTCTGTCCTATAGGTGAGCTAGGAGTTGGAATCCACGCAACAGCAACAGGTTTGCTAAAGTGGAAGGATAAAAAATTCTGATTACTTAATAATCTGAATGAATTATGTACTCACAGAAATAGGAACAGTATCTTATAATTATCAGTGTAATTTTTTTTTTTTTTTTAATTGGAGAAATGATTTTTCCCTGTATCCTGCCACTGGGAAAGATACCGACAAAAATCAGGAAAATTATATCTATTTAATTTGTCTTGAATTAAGTCAAACATATTCTTAAGTAAATTATTGTATAAATTATATCTTAATCATTTAATGCCATACCATTAAACACCAATAACAAGTATATTACTTTCTAGGTTAAAAGTAAGTTTAAAGTATTTTCAGATTAGTTAATAACAAATCAAATGAATTTTAATATATTTGGGTAATCTGACTGCTGTACACAACCCCAGCTCTCACTAGGTTAACACAATAAAAATTTCTCACATCTCAATCCACTGTGAATTGGCAGAGGGGCTCTGTTCCACATAGTTACTCAAGAATCAGGCTTCTTTCATCACTTTGGCCCCTCCTCCACCAGGTCCTAAATATTTTCCATTTGGTCAAGAGAAGGGAATACAGTATGTCTTAGTTATCTAGTGTTGCTATAACAGAAATACCACAAGTGGATGGCTTTAACAAAGAAATTTATTTCTTCACAGTCAGGTAGGCTGAAAGTCCAAATTTAGGGTGTCAGCTCCAGGAGAAGACTTCCTCTCTCTGTCAGCCTTCTCATCAGTGTTCCCCAGGACTAGGAGCTTCTCCGCGTAGGGACCCCGGGTCCAAAGGACACACTCTGCTCCTGGCACTGCTTTTTTGGTGGTATGAGGTCCACCTGTCTCTCTGTTCACTTCTCTCTTTTATATCTCAAGAAATTGCCTCAGGACACAATCCAATCTTATAGATTGAGTCCTGCCTCAGGAACACAACTGCCGCCCATCCTCCCTCATTAACATCATAGAGGCAGGATTTACAACAACCATACCTTTAATCTCTCTGCTCCTTGGTGGAGTCTTTATGGGCTTTTATTGCTCAAAAATTTTCTCAGTCTTATCTCTTTTTGGAGTCCAGAAGCTTCTCGAAAGCTCAGGTTCCCAAATATCTAGACTTTGTTTGCTCTAGTTTTTGCATGTGAGCTGACCAGTTCTTTCCTGAACTCTTCTCATTTTTTGTAGTACATTGCTAAACACAACCAACAGCAGCCAGCATACACTAATATTTTTATTCTTTTCAACCACTTAGCACTAAAAACCCGGTAGATATGTGGCCTGTTATCCCTGGAAACAGTTTTACCTATTTCTTTAGCACATAGGTTGCATATATGCACATTTCCAGCCTCAAATAATCCATTTTCTTATCACCTACCACTGAAAACTGCTGACCTCTACTTCTCAGTACCAATTTCAGTATTATTTGTAGTAGACTCTATCAGATGTAGCCAATAACTGCGATATTTCAGTGGTTTGTTTCTTATTCATCACGGTCTGTTGGCTCTGTGCAGGCTCTTTCCATCTTGAACCTCTGCCTCCTCAGAGTCCTAGGAGTTCTCTTCATTCAGCCAGTGGTTAGGGCGGAGTTGGGAGAGGGAGAGAAAGAGATAATGGAGGATTAAATGTGAGGTTTTTATGTCCAGGTCTGTTCCTCACATTCCATTAACCGTAACTCAGTTACATGCCGTCACCTAACTGCAAGGCGAATAATTGTGTGCCTAGGAGGAAAAGGAAACAACATTTGGCAAACACATGGCAATCTGCCACATTTACCATGTATTCACAAACATAGGATAACTAAGTAGGCAGTTCCACATTTTCTCAATGGGAAGATCCAGGTAAAAGGTTTTTTGTTTGTTTGCTTAGCTTGTAAATTTAAAATATTTAATTTATGATTTACTTACACGTACAAACTTACATAATATTTTTGTTGTTGTTAGGTACCATCAACTTGATTCCAACTCATAGCAACCCCATGTGACAAAGTAGAAATTCCCCATAGGGTTTTCTTGGCTATAATCTTTACAGAAGATCGCCAGGTCTTTCTCTCACTGGTGGGTTTGAACCAACAACATTTCAGTTAGCAGCTGAGTGCTTAACCATTGCACCACCAGGGCTCCTTTTACATAATATATAAAATTTACATATAGTTTAGAAATATTACTTTATTCAAATACCAGTTTTAGTGAAAGATTTTCAGTTAAAGTCTTTACTCTTTATCACTGGAGTAGTTTTTTAAGTATTATAACAGATTTCTAGAGCACATGTGATCTGCACAGGATATGGAACACTTTGAATCTGTGTACAATGATGTTTTGGAAGTTTTATCCCAAACTGTTTCACTCATTTGTATAATATTATGACATTGGCTTTTTAAAGAAATCTTTAAAAGGCTATTGACATTGTTGACTAACTGGAGCAACAGTTAAGTGCCCAGCTCCTAACCGGAAGGTTGACAGTTTGAACCCACCCAGCTGCTCCATAGGAGAAAGACTTGGCTTTCTACTTCTGTAAAGAATACAGCCAAGAAAACCTATGGGGCAGTTCTGCTCTGTCACATGGGATCTCTATGAGTCGAAAATCTACTCGATAGCACCCAACAACAAAATACTGATTAATAAATAAATAAATATATATATATACACAATGAAACCTGTCAGAGCCAGAACTCAATGGGACAGCCTTGTTTTTCCAGGTCTTGCAAGTTTTCTGCCTCTGATAAGATGCAGTCGTAACACTTTTCTATAGCTAGTGTTAGTAGAAACTATTTCGGTTTTCCTTCTCTGACAGGTTTCTGCCTTCCACAAGTTCTGGTTTTTGCAGGTTTTACTGTATATTGCCTCCCTTTTTCTTTTGGATTCATCAGCTAAGCTCTCTCTAAGCATCCAGACATACATCGATTCATGTCTTCTCAGGCTGATGTGTCTTCCCCAAACAGTACTTTTTTTTTTTTTTTTTCAAAATAATGTAATTGAAGTGCCTCATAATATAAGAGACTATAAAGACTTGAATTTCAAGAGGGCAGTTTTATGGCAAAAAAATAACTTTGACTTATACTTGAGCAGATTTAGTAATTTACCTTATAATAACTTTTGTTCAATAACAGAAGGAAGTAGAATCAATTAACCTTTTAAAAATAACTCTGCTATCAGCATTGTTAGATCCAATGTCTTTGGTTTGGTTTTAAAAAGTGAATTTTCTGGCTATATCTATTCCATGCACAGATGTCATAAGCTAGTAATGGTTCTTTGAAAATACAAGATGCTCCCCCCCACACTTTTTTTTCAGCTTTCCATGTTGGCTGGAAATAAGCCAGCCTTTTTCTGTATCACTGTCAATAAGACAGCATAGCATTTTTTAGGTAGCCCTCAATTGATTGTCCATATGTAAACTTTGTGACTTCAAAATGTTTTCTGTTGGACGTAGATTTTAAGTTGTAAGATATTCTATTTAACTAGGTATAACTAAATTTCTTCCTTTGATATTGATTTAAAGAAGATGAAATTTAGGTCTCTGGTATGCTGTTTAGGTATGTAGTTAGTTTTCATTATTTTTGCTTTCTTCTCCCAGGTTTTCAGCAAAATGAACCTGAAATCAAGAATCAATTTAATAATAGTAAACAAAGAAGACCTAACAATACAAAACAGCAATTGCAGCTGCCTCTTCATCCTTCATGGGAAGCAAGCAGGAGGCAAAAAGAACAGCAATCTAAAATTGCTGTGTTTCAGGGGAAAAAAATTACATTTGATGATTGATTAATGCCTCTTCTTGTGAACTCTTCTATCTAAAAAAAAAAAATTTCTTTAACTGACCTCTATTATTTACACTTGTCATTGAATTAATCTTTTAGTGGGTTATAGAAATAAGTTTTTCTTTTTTAAGTGTGTCCAAGCTTATAGAAGCCTTTCATAAATCAAATATATAACTAAAGTTGTATTTTTTATAGTATGTCCCAGGCTATTTCCTGTATAAAAGAATTTC